TCAAGGAAGTGGCTTTGATATTCTCAGGAACGCGTGGCGTTTCCAGCCTGTTGTTACAGTGACTGGCATGAACACCCTGCACTCATGGAGACAGGCCTGCCTGATCGGATTCAGCCTCGCAGATGATTTTTAGTGTGTCGTGGGTTTTTTTGTTTGGTTTTTTTTTTTTTTTTTAATTTGTAGACCAATAGTAGACAATTGAAATGACTGTTCTCATCTCTAATGTTGGAAGTTTTGGTGAAGATTTGGTGGGCAGTGAGCCAGATTATGTCTGAGGATGTGTTAAAAGATGGCTGCTAGCAGAGTGGAAGCAGTTTTAATTTGAAAAATATATTGCAAACCGGGTAAAATAAAAAAGGGGTAATCTTTTCACTCGAGATGCTTAAAAACTACATTAAATAAATGATTGGACATTAAACGTTCTGTTTATAGAGGCATATTTTTTACTGTCTCGTTTTTTCTAGGTTTTACACACGTTGGAAAGATTGGGAATCGTGGTATTCTCAGAGCTTCGGTTTACATTTTTCCCTGAGGGAAGAACAGTGGCAGGAAGACTGGGCATTCATCCTCTCTCTCGCCAGCCAGGTAAGTGCTGTGGCGCGCTGCCCGTGAGCATCGGCCTGTGGCCTGAACCCCGGATGCTCCTGGGGAGTCACATGCTGTTCATTGACTCTGTGGCCATAGAGGTCCCCGCTGCGGAGCGGGAGTGACAGCTTACTCACTAAGGGGTGCAGGCTGTCCGGTGAAGTCGGACTGGGATGACGAAGCACTGCGTGTGTGTGTTTAAGCACCGTGTGTGTGTGTGTGTGTGTGTGTGTGTGTGTGCGTAAGCTCCGCGTGCGCATAAGGACCGTGTGTGTGTGTGTGTGTGTGTGTGCGCGCGCGTAAGCTCCGCGTGCGCATAAGGACCGCGCGTGCGTGTAGGCTCCGCATGCTTGTGTAAGCTGCGCATGCATGTAAGCTCCACGTGCGCGTGTGTAACCACCCCATGCCTGTGTGTAAGCACCGCGTGCGTGTAAGCACCATGTGTGTGTGTAAGCACCGTGTGTGTGTGTGTGTGCGCGCGCGTCAGCTCCGCGTGCGCATAAGGACCGTGCGTGCGTGTAGGCTCCGCATGCTTGTGTAAGCTGCGCATGCATGTAAGCTCCACGTGCGCGTGTGTAACCACCCCATGCCTGTGTGTAAGCACCGCGTGCGTGTAAGCACCATGTGTGTGTGTAAGCACTGCCTGTGTGTAAGCACTGCGTGCAAGGACCGTGTGTGTGCACGTGTAAGCACTGCATGTGTGCATAAGCACTGTGTGCATAAGCACTGGGTGTATGTGTATAAGCACTGTGTGTGTAAGCACTGCGTGTGTGTGTAAGCAGTGTGGGTGTAAGTTGCATGTGTGTGTGAGCACTGCGTGTGCGTAAGTACTGCATGTATGTGTAAGCACTGTGTGCGTGCGTGTGTGTAAGCACTGCATGTGTGCATAAGCACTGTGTGTATAAGCACTGGGTGTGTGTGTAAGCAGTGTAGGTGTAAGTTGCATGTGTGTGTGAGCACTGTGCGTGTGCGTAAGTACTGTGTGTATGTGTGTAAGCACTGTGTTCGTGTGTATGTGTAAGCACTGTGCGCGTGCATGTGTGTAAGCACTGCGTGTGTGTTTGGATTGCTTTCATCTGTGTTTCCTCTCAGAAAGGCGGCTCCAGGCCTGTCTTCCACGCCTGCTGGTGAGCTCCCATCCTGTGTCTGAGGGGAGACTTCACCGGGTCGTGGGGCTGGTAGTGGGCACGCTGGTGCTGAGCTCTGTGGCCCCGGGGGTCAAGTCGAGGTCTCGCTAAAGCCCCAGGGAGGCTCTCCTCCTGTGACTGAGGCAGAGAAGGTGCCAGAGAGTCATTCCTTCGCAGCGGGGAGTGGGCTGTTAGAAGTGAGCTGTGGGAGTGGCTGTTCTACCTCTGCGACGTGCACCTCCTGAAAACGTGCTGTCAGAGCCGTTGCAGGGGAAGGTGGGCTGGGGTGTGTGCAATGAGGGTGCTCCAGTCAGTGTAGGAAGTAGCCGCGTCGTTCCCCACGGAGGCCCTTGTGGGCCGCACTCCGTGGGAACCCAACGGAAGGCCGTGTGAACCAGGGCCCGGCTGCGGACCTTGTCCCTGGGTGTGAGCAGCCGGGTGACTCGGGGGTGGGGAGGGGGTGGGTGCCTATGCAGACTGGCTGTTGGGGGACCCAGTGCTGCTGCAGCTGGACAGATTGGTTTTCAAAGACATCGAGAGAGAGGTCGGAGGTGCCGCGTCGTGCCCTACGCGTCGCAGGGTGTGGGGACCAGGGTTGCCATAGAAATGACTTCACTTTGCTCTGCGCAGCCTGGAGCGAGCTTGGAGCAGACACACATCTTCGTGCTCGCGCACATCCTCCGGCGCCCGATCATCGTTTACGGCGTGAAGTTCTACAAGAGCTTCCGGGGAGAAACGCTGGGGTACACCCGGTTTCAAGGTGAGCCCCTGCCCGGGGGCGGGGGGGGGCTGCTCACTCGAGGGGGGCCGTGCCGTTGCAGCCGCAACTGCCAATCGGTCTGACTCTCTCTCCTCCCAGGCGTGTATTTGCCTTTGCTGTGGGAACAGAGTTTCTGTTGGAAAAGTCCGATCGCCCTGGGCTACACAAGGGGCCACTTCTCTGCTCTGGTTGCCATGGAAAATGACGGCTATGGCAGCCGAGGTGCCGGTGCTAACCTGAACACCGACGACGACGTCACCATCACCTTCCTGCCTCTGGTGGACAGCGAGCGGAAGCTACTCCACGTGCACTTCCTTTCTGCTCAGGAGGTAAGCGGCCCTGCCCTTCCCGCCACTGCGCGTGGGGACGCTGGGCCCCACGCAGCGAGGGGCACCCGGTGCATTGGGACCGGGTTGTGATGGCCGCTTTCTGGATGCTGGTCAGCTGCTGTGCAGGGTGTGCTGCGGGGACAGCATGGAGTGAGGACGGGAGCCCCTGCCCCGGGGCACGGTGAGGGGGCCAGGCGGTGCGCGGGCGACACGGGGTTTCTGACTGAAGAAGGTGGCGAGGGAAGGCGTCACGAGGAAGTGACGCCCGAGTCGGGAGCGGGAGGAGCTGGGCAGGAAGAGGGCGGCTCAGCGTGGCCTGGACTCGGGAAGCGGGGACCCCAGGGGCCAGCCTGCCCCGGGGAGGAGCCCGCTGCTCAGTGACTAGACCGCAGGGCAGTGGCGTGGGCAGGACCCCAGGCTGGAGACCTGGCAGGTCCAGGGAGGTGTGGACAGGCCGGAGGTGGAGAGCATGCGGAAGCGCACTTGGAAACCCGCAGGCTCACAGCAGCATCGCTTTACTCCACGTGCTCACAAGCACAAAGCTCGGAGCGACATTGGGAAGGAGCTCCCAGAGCATCGTTTTTGCAGCGTCAGCCTGTACGCAGCGCGCTGAGTGACTTGCCTTGTGTTTGAGGCCGTGGCTCCTTGGCCTGTTCTTGGCCAGGGTTAGCTTATCAGACGGCCTTGGCTAGTATGTCAGGTCCCTCCCGGTTTCTGCGAACTTCCCTGTGGATGTCTTTTCTGTTTGGCCGCAGGAGGCCGGGTTTATAAAACTGGTGAGAGGCTGAAACCCTGTGAAGACAGGGAGTTGCTTTGGCCTTTAGGTTGGGAACCAGCAGGGTCTGACCTCGCCTTGCTTCCCTTCCCCCCTTGCCCTGCAGCTGGGCAACGAGGAGCAGCAGGAGAGGCTGCTGCGCGAGTGGCTGGACTGCTGCGTGACCGAGGGCGGCGTGCTGGTCGCCATGCAGAAAAGCTCTCGGCGGCGCAGCCACCCCCTGGTCACGCACATGGTCGAGAAGTGGCTGGACCGCTACCGGCAGATCCGGCCTTGCACGTCCCTGTCTGACGGAGAGGAAGACGAAGACGACGAAGATGAATGAACAGAGCAGAGAGCGGGAGACCAAGGTAGCGGCTCTGTGGTGACCCCGGGGAGTGGTGCTCCAGGCAGAGGCATGGCATGGGCCCGAGCGACCGCAGGACCTGCCTGGAGGGCTGATCCACACCCGACGGCGGTGGCGTGTCTGCCGAGCGAGGACAGAACTCGGTTTGGACTCCAGTTTGTAAAAACCAATTCATTCAGACAGAACTCTTCCTTTCCAGGCGTCAATCTGTCTATAAGTGTCACGCATGTGGTTGTGTAAGAACTTGTGTAATAGGAGCAGTTGTACCAGCATCTCCCTGTCCCTGAGGAGTGTTCAGCATGGGCACCTCCAAAGGCACAGGCACACGGCTTTGTTCCTTTGAGATGTTTTTTTAAACTAGAACCTGGCATCCTCTTTCCATCGTAAAAGATCCATTTACATCAAGTCTCAATCGAGCTCCTTAGAGATTACAAACTTTTTGTACAAATTGTCCACAGCAAAACATAAAAATAAAACAAACTTATTTTATTAATAATTTAGTTCCTGTTGTGCCCAATAAAATCAAATCTTTAAGGAACAAACTACAAGGAAAGTAAGAATTTTTTATTGAATGAACTTCATCTAGACGCTCCCTTGTTTTGGTTTCTCTCATTTCGTGTGCTGTTAGTTTGTTCCTGTTGTTGCTGACATGCCCCTTTCAGTATTCGGTATTTATTCGTTCGGAAGCGCGCCCTCACAGTGCGGGCGCTTCTGCCAGACGCCAGGCAGCATCTCCGGGAGCGGCTTTCCCTGGCCGCAGGCAGGGGCGCTCGCGCCTGCCCACTGGACGCGGTGGACAGCGTGTGCTCCCGCCCCGTGGAGGCTCGGGTCCTGGTGTCTTGTACCCTCAGCTCTGCTTTAAGCACATTGTGTTGGAAGGCATGCCTTTGCTTGGGCTACTTGGGAATAGCAGTTCAGTACAGAATAAAGATTTAAAATGCAGTAAGGCGGTCAGTGCATTGTCTTAATGAATTTCGCAGTGAGCAGTCCGAGTCTGAATGTTGGTTACTTGTGGTCATTCTTATTTAAAGTTAAAACTATCATCTCAGGTAAGAAGGACTTTCTATAAGAAGTGTTCGGTGACCACTTCAGGTCTCCCACCCATTTAGACGGGTTAGGGTCTCAGACCCTCCCAGGCACAGACTTAGTGTCCTGACCAGTAGATGGTCGATGCAGCCGAGAATTCAGAAAGCAGCACCTCAGCCTACACACGTTTCTCCTTCCTTTTGATGAAAAGGCTGTGAAAACATTGGAATTTTTGCTTATTTTCCCCGAGTTCTGGTTAGGATGGCATTGGGCGTGCACGAGCTTGAACACTAAAGCCAGGAGCATGCCCAGGGCTGGCTGGTGTGATTGGTGATTCAGCTCTTTCCCCCTCTGTGCCCAGGACCAAATGACCCCTTGCTGCACGCAACGTGACTCCATAGAAACGAATTCCGATATGTTACAGGAAAGGTGAACGTGCTGTTCTAAGTGGGTAACCTTTATTACAAACTTTTTGTGGTTTGTTTGTATTTGGTAATTTTTTTAGCAGCTGACACTCTACTTAGTGCCAGCATCTCCATCAACGCCCCCACGAGCACGTCTTTATGGGCAGAGACCCTGGTGCAGCTGCTGAATGCAAACTGCCCTCCCAACCGCAGGAGCCAAAGCGATGCCTGAGGTGACAGCACCTGGTCGTCATGGCCTCCCCGCAGCCCCACTGCCAGGAGCGTGTCTGGTCTGCGGGGGTTGCTTCCCGAGGAGCCTGTCACCTCCACGCTCAGCACAGCCTCTTCCCTGTGGGATGGGACTGTCGGTTCCAGGGCCCTGGGCTCCCCGTGGCCTCCCAGCAGGTGGCTGGAAAGGCCAGCATTTGGGGGGATCAGTGCCACGTTCAGCTCTTGAACTATTCAACAGCCATATTTGTTTTCCCGAGAATGTGTTCCCCTTCCTGGAAGTCTTGTGGCCGGGCCCGCTGTATGTGCATGTGTTGGTTGACTGGACAGTCAGACCGTGACCGTGTGGCCTTTTCTAGGGAGGATACGGGGAGCGGTTCTGGTCTAATGAAAACCCGGCGCACGTGGAACGGACCTGCCTTTTTGGGTGACTTGGGCACATTGTGCCCCGGCCCGATCTGTGCAGGGAGTTCTGCCGGCCCCGGGCGGCCGGGCTCGCTCTGCCCTGCCACCTGCACTCCTGCCTCTGACCAGGGGCCCCGAGGACTGCGCTGCCGCTCCCGGACCCCGTCCCCGTGAGGTGGTTCCAACGTGACTGACCAGAGGCTGGCGCTGGGGCTGCACCTGAAAACCAGCCAGGAGGTGACGCTTCTTACAGGGGGAGGGAGGGGGAGGAAGGGGCTCCAGGTGTGCGGCCTGGAAGCCGGGGCGCTTGCAGATGCACTCGCACAAGGGCAGTGACTACGCTGTTAACAGAAGGAATGGCTGATGTTAACCACTTTGCAACGTTTCTTTGTAAACCTTCCTTCCTGCATCAGGTGATTGTGCTTTTGGGTAAATTAAAAATCAAAACTCTCCAACTTGACCAATTTTGTGTTTCTTGACTTGACTTAGTTCTCACCCACTGTTTCCTCTGACGGACACTGAGGGACTTCTGTGGGGCTTTGCTTTTTCAAGTCCACGCTCACACGCGGCCATTTCGGCCCCTGGAGTCTGGCTGTGCAGGAGGCAGGCCGAAGGTCCTGGGGCATCTCAGCAGAGAAAGTGTGCACTGGTGAGATGCACGTGAATTTCAGAACTGAAATTTTTATTTTTATTGAAAACTGCACCGAACGCTAAATGTCCACCTTTACAATAAACAAATACAGTAACGGTAACTCACACTAAAACAAAACATTTCTGATAGCCATTATTTTTCTGTTTGGGACAGTTTTAAAGGTTTTTGTCACAAAAACAGGAATGTACCTATACAAAGGCTCAAAATAGGCCATCTTTTAAACAAAAAGGCAATGATTCACAAAAGACTATGAATATAACATGTAACTAGTTGATACAAATCTAATAGGATTTGTTAAAATCAGTCACATCTAATAACACACCTGAAGTGTTCTTGTATAAAATATTACGTGAAGAAAAGAAGATTTTATCAATGTCTAAAAAAGTGGGTTTGTTCATAGACAATCTGACAAGTTACCATAAAAAGTGTTTCCTGAGACATAAGGAAATGCAACATTATTCTTCTTGAACCCTTTCAGTTCAAGACTTTCCACTCAATAAAATAGCTGAGGATCTGAACTGAGAAAATATATTTGAGTACAAACAGCTTGTGAAACTTAATACTTTTTTTTTTTTTTTGCATCATTAGAGGGTGTTACTGAACTCACAACTGCTCACCCGCTCAGTATGCAGTTCGGGCGGGAGATTTGTGTCCAGGAGCGACTGTCTTCCGTCCGTGCTTGCAGCGAGCTGTCTGACCCAGGCCAGCAGTTTCTCCCGGTTCCGTAGTAACGCGATCTTCCTATTAGCAAAGAGGTGGCCAGCCCCGGGGACCAAGGGAGAGTCACAGGACAGGGACCGCCTCTGAATAGGTTTTATTTTGACGTTTGGAACTCTTGACGCAACATTCTCTACAGCCAGGTGTCCAGGACCCGCTGTGCCCCAGGGGCTGATAAAAGGAAAAAGATCTATTCTTTGTGATTTGATGCACAGATGAAGAACTTAACACACAATAACAGAAGTTGGTCGTCATTAATCACATCCTAGTCTTTCCCGGGCCCCCTCTGCGAGCAGAAGGCATCTTCCGTTTTCCCACGCCTCGGCTTCTCGCTCTTGTCGTTCTAACGCTGATGTCAGTGGTGCGGAGGCCCAGAACCAGTTACAGAGCCGGTCACGCTCCCCTCCTCTGAGCTCCTCTGTTGTCCACTGTCTCTTGGTCCCAGGTTTCTCTGACCTTTGTCCTCTGCTACTGCTCGTTGGGGTGCTCTCGACTGTCCCCGTGTTTCGTGGGCTGGTTGGGGGAGGGCGCTTGGGAAGGGTGTGCCACTGTGGGCAGGTTGTGCGTCACGGGGATGCCTCCGGGGATGATCCCTTCCATGGCAGCAGGAAGCCCCCCCGGGGCCACGCCCACGATGCCTGGCGGGTATCTAAGGCGCACAGAGAAGGGCAGGTAAGTCCAGGGCAGGAAAAGGTCTTTTATCATCTGTCTGCCTTCCTATCCCCAAAGCAGGGAGGAACCCGTGTGAAAACTAAAACGCTGACGGAAGTCACAAACAACAAAGTCTCTTTTCTCTGATCAAAATACGGGGCTGCTTCTGTTGCTCTCAGACGACGGGAATACCCCCGCTCTGCCCACATGCGGGAACCTGCACAAGATGTGGTCCCCAGCAAAGTGGAGGCCTCGCCAACTAGATGTGGCCCTGGCTGCTGGCGTGTGACAGGCAGGGAGCAGGCCTGTGCTGGCAGCACGCGTGTGAGGATGCGGAGCATTTAGCCTCCAGAACAGGCGCAGGGCTCATCTGCACAGTGAGCCCAGGGTCATACTTGGAGGCAGCCATTTAGAACAGCGGTCGCCAACCCGTGATCCGTGAGGTCGGAAAGGTTGGCGACGCGGATTTAGAATTGTTCTGTCACCAGCTCCTTTACGCTGGTTTTCTCCCTGCAGGAGCCACTCCCTCCCTGGCAGGGCTTTTCAGTGCCGACGCGGGGAGAACGCCGAGGGCGGGTGCAGGAGGACTCTGGCACGGGGCCTGTGAGCACCGGAGCTCAGCTGTGCTTCTGGGGGCCAAGGTCTGCGTCAGGAGGGACAGGGCCAGGGCTGCTTACTCCGCCGCGACCCCCACGCACAGGGCAGGCCAGGACCGTGTGTCCCACGTCCTCCTGGGGCTAAGGCTGCAGCGCCTCCTTTATGGGGAGGACTTACTCCCTGGAACCAGCTGTTGGGGGGAAGGGGGGAGTCTGGGAAGCCCCTGCCGGTGACCCTGCACTGACTTCAGTCTCTGTGGACCCCTCTCCCTGGTCTTTGGCCAGAAAAGCGAAGTCACTAACAGGCTCAGTCCTTCCACCGGAAACCTGGCTGTGAAGGGGCTTCGGAATAAAGGGGGCTCCCTACGCAGTGCTCAGACCCTGAGGCCTGGGAAGAGTGGGGGGCAGAGGGTGGGGTTCCCCCGAGGGAGGAGGAGGAGCTCCTGCAGCCCAGGTGGGGCGCGCTGCCCATGTCGCGTCCCTCCCGCAGCCTCACCTGTAAGTGGCACCATTGAGCTCTGGGTGAATTGCTTGCTGGTCTATTACTGACCAAGGAGCTGTTGTAACAAAGAGTTCCTTGTTCACACAGTTCCTTAAGCTCTCGGGGATGCGACCTGGAACGAGACGGTTACATGCTTCCTGAGGGGCATCGGGATTTAATATCAGACTCAGTAGCGGCTCCGGGGGAAGAGCCTGCGTGGTTTGTGCTGACAGATCTGACAGCGAATCTACTCCAGGGGAGGGAGCCTCCGGAGCCCCGAGCTCTCCAGCCAGCGGAGGCCAGGACAGAAGAGGCCTGCTCCCTCGGGGGAGGGCCCCGCCCGGGGTGCACCGGCTACGGTGGCCTGAGAGGCATTGGTTTCCTCTGAGTTTGTTAGGGACATGCACAACCCACTCAAAACTCAACCAGCCTGAAAGCTGATGTCTGCCCACAGCATGTTTTCTGCCTTTATTGAGCGGCCGCGCCAGGCTCACCTGTGATCGCACGGCGGATCTCCGTGGCGGCGGCCTCCCGCATCTCCAGTGAGGCCTGTTCACTGTACCAGGCCGTGTGGGGCGTGCAGATGAGATTCGGCGCGTCTTTCAAGGGCCCCTGAGCAAAGCTGGAGGAAGGTACAGAGCATGGCCCTGAGGTGCTGGCCACACACCCGGGCCTGCTCACCCTGGGGGGAGGGGGGGGGCAGGGAGGCTGGCACGGCTGCGCTGTGACCCCAGGGGCAGGAGCAGCCAGGGACGCACAGAAGGACCAGCGAGGCCCGGAGGTCGGCCTTTGAGCTGCGTCTGCAGACCAAGCAAACCACCCATTTCCCTGCCTCGTCCTTGGCCGATTCCCTTTGGGGACCTTTTGGCGCCTTTCCAGTCCGTGAGGACGCACTACAGCCCTCAAAGGCGCCTGTAAAGGGCGTCTGCTTTCCTACCCGGGGCCTGTCTTCTGGGAAAGTGCCCCCCAAGTGTGGGGCCAGGTGGACTCAGAGCTCAGGCGGCCAGACCCACCTGAAAGGCTCCGACTCATGCACGTCGAGGGCTGCTCCTCGTATCCTGCCTTCCTTGAGGGCCTGGGCCAAGGCCTTCTCGTCCACCAGCCCGCCGCGGGCCGCGTTCACCAGGAAGGCCCCCTGCCTCATCTGTGGGGCAGGGAGAGCGTTAGCGGGCGGAGGCAGCAGGAGGCCGAGCGTGGAGCCTCGTGTCCGCTTCTGCTGACCCTGCGAGGGCCTCAAGCGGGAAGCCTGGCTCTGTCTGTCGTGTTGGAGGCTGCCCACCCCACGGGGGCCTCACTGCTGTGCCTCGGGGACTTCCCTGCTCCGGGGCCCATGGCCCATGCCCTCCCCTTCGGCTGCGACGAGCCGGGCCGCGGGCGCCCGCACCTGCTTGATGGTGAAGTCGTTGACGAGGTGGTGGTTGTGCTCGTTGAGGTTGCAGTGCAGGGACACGCAGTCGCTCTGATACAGCAGGTCCTGCAGGGTGTAGACCCTCTGCACGCCCAGGGACCGCTCGATCCCGTCCTGCAAGTAGGGGTCGTAGAAGATGACGCTGAAGCCAAAGGCCTTGGCTCGAACGGCGACCGCCTGCCCCGTGCGACCTGCGCAGAGAGAGAGCGTCCGGGTGAGCGAGGCCGGCCCCTCCTGGAAGCACGGGGCTGGCCTCCATGTACGGAAAGGGTTTCAGGAAACGGATGGCAAAGGCGCAGCCAAAGAGCGACCCCCGGCAAGGACGCGCGTGCTGTGCTGGCCAGGGCCCGCCGAGGCCCCATCGAGGCCTAGAGCCAGGCAGCTCTCCTAAGAGCCACTCGCAGAGCACTGGACCTGGCGCGCCAGCAGAGGGCGCTGCGGCTCAGCCACCTGCCTCCCAGGCTAGGGGGCCTGTCCACTCTGAGTGGTCACACCAGACCCAGAGCTGAAAGGTGTGCAGGCCCCTCCTACCTCACTCAGCGGTCCCCTAGGCCACCCCCGCGGCCTGGCCCTCAGTGACCAGGAAACAGCCCGAGTGAAGACTGCGTGCAGCGGGAGCCTGCTGTAGCCAGGCCTCGAAGGCGCTCGCCAGGGGCCAGGCAGAGGGCAAGGCAACCCTCAAGGTCGCGAGGCCCCTCCCAAACGCTCCGTGGGGCCCTACTTGAGCTGTGTGGCCATGAGCCAAGCTCTCCCTGGGCCGGCAGCCGTGTCGCCCTGGACAACGGCTGACCCGGCAACAGCTCTCCAAGCTGGTGGCCTGACCACCTTCTGCCTCGGAGGCCTCCCGGCCCCGGGCTCCACTCAGCCAGCAGACCCTGTTCGAGCCCCACTGAGCACCTCTGCCCACAGGGCAACTGGCAGGCACAGCACCTTCCCGCTGCCCCGCCCCGAGAATGCCCCCTCAACCCCTGCGGACAGCAAACTCCAGTCACGTGACCATAGGGACCCTCCCCTCCCAGGAAAGGGCAGCTGCACGTACCAAAGCCGATGAGGCCCAGTGTCTCCCCGCGGATGCGGGCTGCTCCCGAGGCGACCTCCCGGATCTGCTCCACGCTCTGCACCCGCGTGCCTTCCCGCAGCGCCTGGTACAGCCACGTGTTCCTCCGGTACAGGTTGAGGATGTGGCAGAGGGTGGAGTCGGCCGTTTCCTCCACGGCCGCTGACGGGATGTTGCACACTGCAATCCCTGAAAGGAGGCGGGGCCAGGGGTGAGCACCCCTCAACCCCCGCTGCCCCCATCAGAGGTAGGAGACGGGCGGGGCCAGGGCTAGGGGGGCAGAGGCCAGTGAAGCAGCTTCTGAGGGCACAGCTGCCCGGGCAGCATGGAGGCCTCGCTCACAGGGCCCTCTCAGTGCACATTGGGGACCACAGGCAGGACCCCCAGGGCTGGGAGCCAGGCTTCTTCTCTAGCTGAGGGTGGGGGCAGTGCCAGGGCAGCCACGGCTGCAAGGGGTAGGACAGTGGACCATTCTTTCTACCACCCAGCCCAGTGCCAGGCCCAATGCGTACATGGGACAGGTCACCGGGACCTAGGCCAACAGGCCCTGCCGCGTGGCCTCCTTAGAGGGACCGAGCGCCGAGAGTGGCCGGACGGGAAGGCAGGGCCTGCTGCTGCCTGGGCGATGGACCGCTGTCCTGCGGGACTGCCCGAGGGCAGTGGGAAGGTTGTGCTGCAGCTCAGCCCACCCAGGGATGGGCTGCTCCCTGGGGGGTGAGAGAACCTTCTCATCCCGACCCTGGAATGTAGCTCCCGGGCCCGGCGCCTGCAGGGAGCAGACCGAGGCCACGGGCACCGCTGGCATCACCAGGACCACCCGCCGATGGCCACGCACCTTCCTCCAGAAATGCCAGTCCGCACCACCCTCTGAGGTGGAACTTTCCAGGTTGGGGCGTGGCCCACTCCAGGGGCTTCTCCAAAGGCCAGAGCCCCACACAGCAGCCGCTGCCCCGGGTCAGCGCTGACCCAGCCAGCCCTCTGGCTGCACTTACCCAGCTCGCCGGCCGCCTTGATGTCGACGTTGTCGTAGCCGCTCCCTATCCGCACGATCACCCTCAGCGCCTTGAACTTCTCCAGGTCCTCCCGGGTGAGGGTGATGGTGTGGTACATCATGGCGCCCACGGCTTCGTTCAGCACCTGCGGGGGGAGCAGAGCTGCAGGCCCACGTCCCCAGCGCCCAGCAGGGGGAGCACAAGGTCTGGGGACAGCTCCCCCAGAGGAGGTGGGCGGTGAGGGGGACCAGCCAGGGAGACCGAGGGTGGACCCGGGGACCCACCTTCTCGTGGATCTCCTGCGTGGACTGCGCGTCACAGAAGGCCACGGTGGCCAGGTCCTTCAGGATGGGCATCTCCACGGTGCAGTCGCGGCCGTCCAGCAGTGCCACCAGGGGCCGGGGGTGCAGGGGGCCGTTCATGATCTGGGGGCGGATACCTGCGAGGAACGGCGGGGCTTGGTGGGCAGACGGAGTGGCCCGTCCCACTCCATGGGCAACGTGGTGAGTGCCCGGCGCCTCCACCCCATCCCCAACCTGTGGGGTCTGCAGGGCTCCCACCACCACCACAGCCACCTCTGTAGCCCTAACCCTTCCCCTGGGCTGACCGCGAAGCCCTGTCCTGAGGACCACAGGTCACTGCAGAGCCCAGGGCGGTGCCGGGAGGCCGAGGAGACCGGGCTGCAGATGGAGCAGGATGCGGCCTTCTGGGCCCATCGGGGCGGGTCCGACTGGGACCTAGGCCCGTGACCACCTCACACTGAGCTGGCAGGAGCACGTGGAGCTCACACCATCGCCTGGTGGGACTCGGGCCGAGGAACCTGGTCAAGGCCACGCACATCTCGTGGCCCCGCCTCGCACCCACTGGCTCATCACCACACGCTAAGAAGCTGGGCCCCGAGGTGCCCGCACATCAGGCACAGCGCAGCCTGTTGACAGCGGCTGAATCCGGAGCAGAGAGAAGGCCTTTGTCCAGGCCTCCGAGGAAGGGGTGGGGCGGGGCGGGGGCAATGGCACCTCTGGGCGGCTCTCAAGCAGTCATGGTCCCTCCCTGCCCGGGAGCAGCAGGTGAACCCCAACCGCCCCCCAGGACCCGGATGCCCAAAGCAACGCCTCAGTGAGGCTGGGCCCCCACACGCCTGCACTGGGCAGGATGGGACTCCCCGCTGCCTCGCCCCCCAGCTGGCCCGACCCACGAGAGGCCGGGTGCTGTCTTCGGACAGGCCCTGAGGCCCCAGCCCGGCCGGGAGGGAAGAGAGGAGCCATCAGTTCAGGTGGAACCACCTTCTCGTTTCCTTCACCACCACCCCCTGTAGCAGGCGAGGACACTGAGGCAGAGGGGTCAGGAACTCGCTGGAGTGAGGGGCCTCGTCTGCCGAGGAAATGGTGAGACGACCGTTCCCTCCCCTGGGACAGGCAGCCCTGGGCTTCAGGGCAACCGCGCTCACGTGCCCCGTGGTGTCCCTCCCAGGGTGAGGAGCACCGGACTGGATTCCCACAGGAAGGAGGGTCGATGGGACAAGCTCTGCAGAGTTCACGGTCATGATAAGAAACGCAAGTGAATGAAAAAGCAACCCCAGGAAGGGGTCGGCGGCACCAGGCAGGCCTCCGAGAGGCTGGGCTGTCACCACGAGCTGTCCGTCCACAGCATCAGTGCGTCACCTCGTTACCCAGGAAACAAACGCCAGGTTGCCTAGCAATCACCTCCCTCCCCGACTTGGATCCCCTCTTGGTGAAACTCGGCTGGGCCCTCACCAGGCTGGGCCAGCAGAAGGCAGCGGCCCTGGGCCCCGCCCCAGCCCTGGACGGGGCTGCAGGGCCCAGCGGGT